CGGGAATTTTTCAAAAGTTATATTATAAAATCTTGCATTGTCAACATTATTCGTAGCACTATGAACAATATAAATTATATATGTATGCACGTGTATATCCACGATAAAAGTAAAAATGCCAAAGTATTTAGATAATTCCACATCTAATATATTTTACCTACTGTTTTGGTTTCCAAAATATATAGGTATTCCAGATCGTATTATTCACTGTTATTATGTCGCAACGTAGACCAAGTCTCCTGGCTATGCTGTGATATATTATAAATAAAATAATTTTTTCGCCATATTTATTATTCAAAACCTGCGTCAAAAATTATAATACAACAATTCATCAGCGAAGATAATCCCAGTAAGCAAAAAATCATTGCTACAACGTTATTATTGTTGTCAAATATATAGTTTTTAACATTGTATGCAACATCATTATGAACAAACTTTGACATCGATTTAGAGGTTTCGGTAATGTTGAAATTAACGTTTTTAAAATATTTTATTAATATTTTGAGAGCAATATATGTTATTAAATAATATTTTTAAAACATTTATAAAACATCAGTTAAAATATTTTTGTAGAATATTTATTAATAATATTTTAAACATATATTTATATAAAACATTATAACGTTTAGAAAATTTATATAAAATCAACATTATAAAATGTTGATTAAATATTTCTTGCTTACTGGGATTCTAATAAATAACACACATATATCCGAGACCTTTTAGGAACACCCTGTATATTATAATTTATAATAACTTACATCATCTATACACATGTTTTCCAAATGTGTGTTTATCTCTTGGCATGGTCGAAAATTTAATTTATCGAATATATATTCCTCGAGTGTATCCATAATCTGCGTACTTTCTGCTTCATCCCAATGATTATCGTCGATATTATTGTTTCTCCAAAAGGAAAAAGTTTCAGCAGACGTCGAGAATATAGAATGGTTGGGATATTTTTCTTTAAGACAAGTTAGTACCTTCTCTGTGATAGCATCTAATGTTGACTTTATACATGCGTAAAATATATCTTTTTCAAAAAAATTTATTTCTATCGCATTAGTAGCAAATTCTTCCATTAGCCGCTTTTTGTGAGGTAGTTTTGCACATCTTTCCATGACACCCTCCCCGAACATTCCTTCATATAGAGAAATAATTTTATACTGATAAATTTAACGGTTAGAAAATCGCAATCAGTTCTCCTGAAAAATTTAAATATTAACTGTGTAATAATTATATACATTAGACATTGAAATTAATAGAACGAAAATATATATTAAAAATCCTATACCGTGAAAATTGTGTAATCAACTTTTTCAATTCATCAATAAAAAATAATATTTTATGATATTTTTAGGTTCAGTAATAATTTCATTAAACTTGTCTTCAAAATGTTTATGAAAAATGTGTTCAAATCTTTTGTATTATTAATTAAACTTTCTGTATTATTGATTATAAAATCATCGACTGAGTCATAATAATATTTATGTATTTGAGATATATAGTTTCGTAATTCTTTCACACAATTTTGCCTGTTTTTATAAAGTTTAAGATTTTTCTATCCTTTCCTCCATTCTCTTCAGATTCCTTCTGCTCGTTTTCTTTAGATTGTATGTCATGAAATTTCTTTAAAGAAGACCATCTGAAATTAAAACCATCTGAAATTAAAATAATTTAGTAAATATTTATAAATTACTTTGACAAAATTTCCTTAACTTTGGCGCTCTAATATAAAATGATTTTGAAGAGAATTTTAGCGGAAAAACATAAAATTCTTTATAAATTCCACACTCAAAAGATATGTGAATAAATAATATTAAATTATATGTAAATTACATGCTAATTATTATTGCAGACGGCAATAATAATTACCTCTCATACCTACTAATCTTGACCTTGATATCCAGCAAACCAATATGTAACTATTACATAACGTAGGGAGCACATGAAGAGAACAATGTTATATTTTATAAAGTTACTTTCTTTCTGTTTAATTATTTATTTTGTAAATTTTATATTTTATATGAATAATTCATATTTTATTATATCTTGGAAATTATTGATCCTAGAATTTATTTATTGTTTTTCCTGTATCCCTTGTTAAAAATGCATTTACAACTAATTCTCATAATATAAAAAACCGCCAAAATTATGGGAATCTAGTCCGTTTTATAATTAACAATAATTTGTATCATTGCATTATATTTTCATATTTTTATGTATTTTATTTTTATAAAATATATTTCGCGCGTAAATAATAATTTGTAGTTAATGTAAAAAAATTATAAAAAATTTACTCACAAAAAGAATTACCTCTGAAGAAGCTTCCGTTCCATAAACTTATCATATTTGGCTGCAAATTGGAATTTCATGCATACACATCTGAAACTAATTACATCTTCAATTGTGACATTACTTTGGCTGAGAATAAACTCTATCATTTCGTCAGGTAAGCACATTATTGTAGTCATTATGAAAAAATTTCAATAAAACACAAGAAATAATACAAATTAAAATGATGGCAACAATTGGAACTATTAATTACTTTAATATTTTAAAATATTTAAGTAATTAATTTTCTGCTCCGGAAAACACGAAATTTACTGCGATACTGTATATACATGTCTACCGGATTGCAGAGAGCACATGTACGAAGCACGTGTTTCCAATTCATCACTATACGCCTGTTGCATATTTGCCGCAGTCGATTGAGACGCCATCTGTCGCCGCACAAAGGCAATCGTAAGGTGAGCAGCGCGAAAAATTGACATAAAATGCAAGTGAAGAGGAAGTAAAACATTCAGTTCCAATTTTAACAAAATGACCTCCCTTGTTATTTATTGCGGTTTTCAAAATGTTCAGACCAATCTGTTTCGTCCTAAATCCATTTCCAAAGATATTTATACACGTTGAAAGATATCTTGGATATTTCCTATTTCTTATTTCTTATTGCCTGTACTTTTGTATTGTGCAGTAAACTTATTTGCTGAAAAACAGATAGAGAATTACAAAATAGCGATATGCGATCAGTTTAGATTCCAAAAGAAATTCTATTGTGATTGAGGCAATTAATCAGTGTCAGCAGTAAATGGTTTTATAATTTTGCCAATTAAATTTTATAACAATTAGGAATATCTTTAAATACTTTTATATGAGAAAAATTGCATCTATTAAATGAATAATAAACAAAAATTTTTATATAGGTATATATGCTATAATTAAAATAACAAAATATAATTATTTTAATTATTTTTTTTGTCTAAATAAGAAATACAAAACCGAATAGAAAATCATATTTAAATAACTGAACGAAACAATAAGTAATAAAACATTAAAACAAAAACATTTATTTCTAAGCATTTATAATATTACATCAAATTAATTAAAAATTACATCACACAAAATTAAAGACAAAAAACTTAATTCTTTAAGAAATTAGAAAATATTTAATACTACTTTAAATAAAATTAAACACATTGCATTACATATTGAAAGATACTTAATTTTATATTACATAGTATGCATGTGTGTTTGTGTGTGTATATGTACGTGTTGGCAAGTATAATATTTAATTACAAAAATGTTTAATGTAATTTTGAATAAAAGTTGAATACATATGTATTCAAATAATTCATAATATATATAACAAAAATAAAATAAAAAGAAGAAATTAAAATTAATAAAATAAATACCGATATCTAAAATAAATTCAAAATAGTATCATACATATCATTTAAGTTTTTTGTGTCCCTTGCAAACTAATAGAATTCTGTTGTTTTTTTGATGAAATCTCGCTTATTTCTCTCTTTTTTACATGCACTTCGTTATGTAAAATGGACACATTAGACCAATCAAAATCATGGTAAAATAACGTTCTGTGTTCGTTGATAATAGAATGAGATGTAACATGTTTTTAATATTTGAGTTATGCTCCTTAATTTGTATTTCCAAATTGGTATTTATTTTATTAATTTTTAATTTTTTCTTTTTATTTTATTTTATTTTTGTTTTTATCTAAGTAGAGTTTATATATAATTTGTTTTTATCACCTATAAAATGTTTTAGAACTGTCCTTTTGTTTATATATTTTTTGCTTATTAAATTTTTTTTATTTGGTCGACTTGTATTTCTCTTTTTAATTGTGTTATTTATTCGAGATATTGTCTTTGTTCGTTTTAATGTAATGTTATATGTCAGAGTGAGCACTTCGGTTCGTTTATTACTGATATCTTGTCATGTTCTGATCGTTGACAAAAAACGGACATTATGATCATTTAGTTTTTACCACTTACTTGTAACAAATATTTTTTAACACTATTATACGTATGATTTTCCGTATTCAATTTTTACTGTCATTTTCATTTTTTTAACTGAGATTTATAATTTAATTTGTAGCCTGAAGAGGACCCAATTCAGAGTCGAAACGTTGCGTCTTTTTCAATAAAAGATTTTTCACCTTAGCCAGTGTTGGTCAATTGATTCCCTGGTATCATTATTTCAATATTTCAACTGGCAAACGGATCACTTTTTTGATATTACATAATGATGAATCCTTAAACTTTACTGTTTGTAAAGCATTGTCATCTTGACGCTTACACCATTCTCCACAATTTTCGTGATGTCCATATAAGTGATTTGGAATTGCTTGTAATGTGCTTGCTAATTCTTTGCTTTTCCCTTTATTTTGCGCGATCGCAAATGTAAAACATTTGTTAATATTAAGAATTAATTTTTCGCGCTTTGGCTCTATTATATATATATATATATATATATATATATATATATATATATATATATATATACAGGGTTTGTCCGAAAAATAAGTGTACTGATTTTTCCCGCCGCTCCAGGCGCGCCCAGCACCGCTCTGACGGGCTGGGAGTGAAGGGGGGTATGTTGGCAAGCGACGCTGAAAACGGCAACCGGCTCTGAGCTGTGGTGTAGTGAGGAGCTCCGTTAACGCGAACCTCTACGCTCGACCCACGTCACGGAACGCGATGCCGAAGTTTTTGGAGCAGCGTTATTCCATCAAATTTGCGGTAAAGCTTGGGAAATCGCCTACCGAAACTGTCGGTATAATTAACCAGGCTTACGGGGAGTCAGCCATGTCCAGAAACATGATCTTTCGGTGGCACAAGATGTTCGTGGAGGGCAGAGAAGACGTCGACGACGAACCACGGCCTGGACGCCCATCAACGACATCAAGAGTCGTCCACCACGAATTTGTACCTGAAGGACAAACTGTGAATGCTGCCTTTTACGTCCAAGTGCTCGACAGGCTTCGAAAACGAGTCGCCCGCGTCCGGCCAGCGATCAAAAACACCTGGCGGCTGCAGCACGACAATGCGCCGTCTCACACCGCGCTTGTCGTGTCGGAGTTCTTGACCAAGCACGGCGTGACAACGCTGCCGCACCCGCCCTACAGCCCGGACTGGGCACCACCGGACTTCTTTCTGTTCCCCAAGATAAAGAGGAGTTTGAAAGGAACGCGTTACGGGACTTTGGACGCCGTCAAAGAGGCCGTGACGACGTGTCTTCGAGAGGTCCCGATGATGCCTTCGCGAGAGCGTTCCAGGAATGGGAACGCCGCTGGGACAAGTGTATCGATTCACAAGGGTCCTATTTTGAGGAATATTAGCTTAAAGTATGGAAAAGTACAAGCCAGTTGAAATAAATTTTTTTCCCGAGCTCAGTACACTTATTTTCCGGACAAACCCTGTATATATATATATATATATATATATATATATATATATATATATATATAGTATAAAATTTTTAGTAGGATATTTGAAATATATATATATATATATATATATATATATATATATATATATAGGATATATATAGGATATTTGAAATATATATATATATATATATATATATTTCAAATGTCCTACTAATGACTGATAAGCATTGAAAAATATTTTTAAGCTTACAATTAGTTAAAACAAAATAACTTACCCAGTACACTGTAAAAAAATATGTAATATATTACACAAAAGTATGTAAAATTACATAAATAATAAGTGTAAAATTACACGATAAATAATAAAAATGTTTACCTTTTCATTATTTATCGTGTAATTTTACATTTATTATTTATGTAATTTTACATATTTTTAATGTAAATTTACAAAATTTTTTTACAGTGTATAGCAGTTTTATTAGTGTCTGCATAAACATGATCTCCGTCATTACTTATTTTCCCATTTGATGTGGACTTGATGAGTTTCTATTCCACACTTTTTGCAAATTATGTTTAAAATTGAATGCAGACCTAAACGTAATTCCGTTTTAATGTTTTTCAAATTTAATACTTCGTTGCAATTGCAACAAACGAGGTTCTTTGCAAGTTCTTCAATTTCTATAATACGTCTTCCTTCACAAATTTTTTTCTTTATATCTTCTTATATCTTGCACTTTTTTTCGCTCTTGTCATAGCTTCTAAGGTTTTTTTATTTCTGTCTAATAATTTTCTTTTTGCGAATCTACCATTAGAAGCACGAGTTTGACAAGACATTTTGAAGGTTACGCGCGAAAATTTTCCTGTTAAAAGTCTCAACTCGTCGCGAAAGTACGATGTTGCCAGCTCTTTCTGACTGCCCGAATACGTTAGTGTACATGTACATGCTGAAGTTACGTTTGTGTGCGACAGTCACTGCAAAAATTTGCTCGTGGAGAGAAAAAAAGCCTATACAAAAACATTGATGAATAGCATTATACTTTTGGATATGATTGTAGCCGAAGAACGTCCTTAAAGAAAATGAGCTAAAGGAGACTGAAAGAAAAACGTACAGAAGAATAAAAAAAAGCTTTAAACTAAACTTTATACAAACGGGAATAAATTGTTCGAGAGATTTGCGAAATTATATGTCTCAAATAATTTTTCAAAATTATGTTGATAAAAGATTAAACAAATATAATTACATTATGTTAATCAATATATTAATAAAATTTCAAGATGCAAAATGTTTAGATAAATTTTTGAAAAATTTTGGAAAAACTTTGGCACTTATAAAAAGATTTATAATGATATCATAAAATGTGTTTTCTATATTAATGAGATTAAAAACTTGCTAACACAATTTTCACGGTATGATTTTCAAGATATAGTGCTATTAATTTCATAAATTTATATACTTGCTGCTCAATTAATATATAAATTTTCCAGAAAATCTAATTACAATCTAACCGAAAGATTTTACAAAATATTGTTAAGAAAGATAAAGGATAATTCGATGAAACAAACACATTATACTTATTGGTTAGTAAATACAAATTTTTAGTTAATAAATTTTATTATTTTTATTATTTAAAAATTTATTGAATTGTTTTATTTTCAGGAAAGCTATTCGCGATTTAATCGAAAGATATAGTAATGTAAAAGTAGATCACTTTTTAAAATTACAATCCTTAAAAATATGTAGGATACATTTATAACACAAAATAACCGAGAACAACTTTTGGCATGGACTGCTTTTTATTTCGCACAATATATTCAACTAAATAAGAATGTATCTTATTTGCATATAAAAACGTCATTAGATCACATAGCAAATGAGGTGATGAATTGTCTTAGAAAGAAACATCTCAACCATTCGATATTCTCCACGTCTGATGAAACTCTTTCTTATTGAAAAACAACAATATCGACGATAATCATTGGATAATCATTGGGACGAAGCAGAAGCAAGTTATTATCTTCTGCATCATTCATTGTCAGTCATAAAGGCCACAAGCGCAACTACAAAAACGCGAGTAGTTTTCGATGCCTCCGCGAAATCGAGTAAAGGCATTTCCTTAAACGGTACTTTGATGATCGGTCCGACCATTCAATTAAAATTATTCAAACATCTCGTGCGTTTTCGTACGTTCAAATACGTATTGACGGCCGATATAGCTAAGATGTATCGACAAGTTTGGATACATCCGGACGATCGTAGATATCAACGAATTTTTGGCTTCACGCGGATAAAATTCAAGTTTTTCAATTAAATACGGTAACATTCGGTGTATCATCGGCGCCGTTCCTACCTATTCGAACAATACAAAAACTCGCGAGCGATGAAAGCTCAAATTTTCCGATAGGAGCAAAGATCTTGCACAACGATTTTTACGTAGATGATTTACTATAAGGCGCAAATACGCTTGAAGAGCTTATTCACATTCGGGATGAAGTCATTGAAATATTGAAACGCGGTGGTTTTGATATACGCCAGTGGGCATCAAATCGTCCGCAAGCTTTAGAAAATCTATTGGAAAGACTTAACGATCTAGAATTTCTTACTGATAAAAATCCGATTCGAAAAACGTTAGGCATCTCCTGGAATGCGCAACGCGATGAATTATTTTATACGGTTAAAACTATTGAGCGTCCCGAGAGGATTAATAAACGATTCATTTTATCCAAAATCGCTAAGATTTTTGACCCTCTCGGCCTACTTGGTCCGGTCATGCTCATTTCTAAAATCCTTCTGCAACAATGCTGGAAGGCAAAAACAGATTGGGACGAATCCGTTCCCCACGCGTTACAAAATGTTTGGCAGTCCTTCTCGGAACAGCTCGCATTAATTGATAATTTAGAAATAAATCGAAATGTACTGATAAACGATGCGATCAATGTTCAACTTCACGGATTTTCCAATGCCAGCAAGGCCGCTTACGGAGATTGCATATACGTACGTTCGAGTAATAAAAATAACGAAATTCTCATGCGGCTTTTGTGTTCTAAGGGTCGCGTCGCACCACTTGCGGAACAGACTATGCCTCGTCTAGAATTATGCGGAGCATTAATGCTCGCTCAACTTTACAACGAAATACATGCGATACTCACGTTTAAGCCTAATAAGATCATATTTTGGTCGGATTCCACGATAGCGTTGTTATCATGGTTAAACAAGCATCCTAGCAAATTAAAACAATTCGAAGCAAATCGAGTACGAGAAATTCAGAAAGTTAGCGAAGGAATCGAGTGACGGCATGTTCGCACGGAACACAACCCAGCGGACGCGTTATCAAGGGATCAACTACCTCAAGAATTTTTAAACAACGAAACGTAGTTTCAAGGTCCATCGTGGCTCTCGCAATCGGAAGCCGAATGGCCGCGCTCTATCGTAACACATACAGACGAATTGCCCGGAATAAAGAAGACAACATGTCTAACGGTACAAATTCATTCCGAAGAGATATTAGACAAATTTTCGTCGTATACTAAATTAATACAAGTAGTCGCATATTGCTTACGATTCTTGCGTTTCAACGAAAACACCGGCGTTTTATCAGTCAACGAGATAGAGGAAGCCCAACGACGCATCGTGAAGCTCATACAGCAGACTCATTTTCAAAACGAAATAAATCGTTTATTAACGGGCGGAGAGGTAAAATGCACAAAGCTTGGATCGTTAAACCCAATAATTGACGAACACGGTTTATTGCGCGTCGGAGGACGAATTCATAAGGCCAACATATCGTCTGATCAGAAACACCCAATTCTTTTACCGTCTTGCAACTACGACACGGATCTTTACATTCGGTACATTCATGAAAAATTTTATCATACGGGAATACAATCGATACTGTATAATGTTTGACAACGTTTCTGGATAATTGACAGTCGCAATCAAGTGCGTAGAGTCATTCGTCGGTGCGTCAGATGTGCACGTTTTCGTTCCGAGAACGCGAAATATAAAATGGTAGATTTGCCAAAATCAAGACTCGATAACGTGGCTCCGTTTTATCACACGGGCATCGATTATTTTGGCCCAATTCTCGTTAAGGAGAAAAAGCATCGTAATCGCAGTAGCATCAAAGTCTACGGGTGTATATTCATATGCATGTCAACCAAGGCTATTCATATCGAAATTGTAACCGATTTATCAACAGATGCTTTTATAGCATCTCTGAAAGGATTCGTCAGTCGTCGAGGTGTTCCGGCGCATATTTACTTAGACAATAGAACCAATTTTGTAGGCGCAAAAATCAATTCCGCGAACTGTACGCCCTAATGGGATCCGAGGAATTTTGTACTCAATTGCATGAGTTTACCTTAGAAAACAGAATCGAATGGCATTTTAATCCACCGAATTTACCACATTTCGGCGGCCTCTGGGAGGCCGCTGTGAAGTCGAGCAAGCACCATTTAAAACGGGTAATGCGCGATCTCTTGTTTACATACGAAGAATTGAACACTCTAGCGGTAGAAATCGAGGCAATTTTGAATTCGAGACCTTTATGTCCTCTTTCTACTGATCCAAACGATCCAATCGCATTAACGCCTGTACATTTGCTTATTGGCAGACCTTTCACAATGCTGGAAAATGATTTCTCTTGTGTTGCAGATAATCGCTTATCATCATGGCAATTGATTACAAAGATTCGACAAGAATTTTGGCGACGATGGCAATTAGAATATTTAACGGAATTACAGAAACGACAAAAATGGATTAAAAAGGATGTTAATCTGAAACTGGACTCTATTGTCTTACTAATTGACAAAAATCAACACTGTATGCAGTGGAGGCTGGGATGGGTGGCCGAGTTACATTCAGGGGACGACGGCGTAGTCAAAGTGGTCACGATTAAAACCTCACACGGAACATTCAAAAGAAATGCGACTTCTCTCTGTCCGTTACCTACGGACGCTTAAGACTTTAATTTCATTTATTATGTAACCAAGAAGATGTAATTTTTATTTTTGCTTTCAACGATTTAAATCATTTAATGTTTAAACGACAATGCGTAACAACAAGCGATTGCTTTGCAAAACAGTCATCTTGTTGTTTGAAATTTATGCGACAATTGTAACAAGCGTTATTGTTAAGAATCGAACGTCCGCTGCATGCACAGACGCACACCTAAACGAATTCGTTTTGCTCGTTGCACTCCCAACGGGGGGAGGATGTTCGGTGAATGGCGAATATATTTATGTGAAATATTCACGAGTCCAGTGATTAAGTTTAATTTAATTTTTCCCGTTTGGGACAATAAATATTTGTTATTCTTAATATTTAGTTTATTAAGTTTCGTTCTGTACTAATATACGACGGTCGGTAATTAATGAGCGCATAGATAAAAGACTCTCTCGGCCACTAACACGACAGCGCCAATCAAAAATTATCGCGCCACAGCGCAACGGTGTGTATGTCTTGTGCGTGCGGGATTTATTCGAGAAGTAGCGTCCAACGTGTGCACACGTGCGAGTCGTTCTTTCTTTGTGTAGCGATCATTGCGTGATCTGCTATTATACGTTTCTAATATACGTTTTTCTTATACGTTTCTTATATATCAGTGCATAATCTGATATTATACGTTTCTTATATATCAGTGTATAATCTGATATTATACGTTTCTTGTATACGTTTTTGTATGTCATTGCGTGATCTGGTTTGTGCGTTTCTTGTATTATGCGTTAGTCGCTCGCAAAATTCCAGAGTGAATGCGTGTATTACAACGGATCGTGAAGGCCGATCTTTGTGCCGAACACGAAAAGCAAGCGACATCCTTATACGATACACATACAATACATTTCAAAATAAAATGGGTTTTTTATGCCGTACAGGCTTTTTCCCATCAAAAGTGTAGTTTTATTTCTCAACAAACTTGAAATACCTAATCACGAAAACGAAAGACAAAACATTGGTAGGACTTTTGAACCGCAAGAGTTTCTACCATACAAATGGTGCTCATACCTTCTTCTACTTTACGAAGTCTATTATCTTCAGTGAGAATAATGTAATATATTTGTTGCTGTACAAATTTATTTGTTGCTGTAAATTCATGAAAAAATTGATACAACAACATTACATATCAATTCACGTTCCATGTATTGTCTAAGTCCTGTGTAACGTCTAAAGAGATTGTATCACTTCTATCAATATCATATCTGTCCCATCCGACGATCACACCCACCTCTTTATCTATAATTATAATTCTATGATTATATCTACTCCATAATAAAATTCAATCTATATTCATAATAAAATAACTATATATGATTTGTCACCATGTTTAACTATCATTCCAACTGCAAACTTTACATTCTCTGGCCTTCAATATGATTCCTTTTTTTTTAACCATTTATTTCCTAAATGCCACTAAAAAAAAGTAAGATCTAACATGATTTGTTTTTTCTTTTTAAACAATTCGTAAATATTGTCTTTCTTGGCAATCAGTTTACTATGTGGGTAGTGCTAACATACCTTATGATTTATATCCCATATCATATCTGAATAATAATGATTACAATAATGAATTCTACGTGTTCCATTTACGTTCCTCAAACAAAAATACAAACGCTGTTCTAAAAAGAACAAAATCTGAAAAAATGTAAACTCATACAAAAATAAAATGACAAAAATCTCATTATAAAAATAAAAAATATAAGAGATTGTGTAATAATTTCTGCGGCCTATATACGTGTAAAGCATACATCATTGATTAATCTATCGTTGTCGAAGTTATAAAAGTATATCACAATTAATGTTAACAGAAATCATATAAGCAAAAAAATGTATATAATTGTCAATCTTTTAGATGTTGGTATAAAGTCTGCCAAAGTATTTCCACGGTTTTTAAAAAACGGCGACAATCGTTTGTGAAAACGTCTCGGGAATTCTTCAAAAGTTACATCGTAACAATCTGCATTTTCAAACCTATTCGCAGCACTGCGAACAATATAAAATTATAATGTATGTGTGTACGCAACATATATAGTAGAAATGCCGAAATGTTCACCTAATTTCAAATCTAATTTATACTTACTATTTTGGCATCCAAAATATATAGTATTCGTCAATTGCGAATTCTTCCTTAATTAAAACACAACGTAAACCAAGTCTCCTGGCCACGCTTCTATATATTATTAATAAAATTGTTTTCTGGCCACATTTATTTTTTAACACCTTTGTCAATATTACAATACAACATTAATTTGTGCGACAGTAATTTTAAGATATAACAAACATGGCCATGCGCGCAGCATGTTAATAGAGTTGGTTATAATATATTTTAATGAATATATTATATTCAAATAAATTTAAATTCTATTATTGATAGAAATAACTTACGTTATCTTTACAAAGGTTTTCCACATTTCTGTCTGTCTCTTGGCATAGTCGAAAGTTTAATTTACCAAAAATATATTCCTCGAGTGTATCCATAATCTGCGTACTTTCTGCTTCGTCCCAATAATTATCACCGATATTGTTGTATCTCCAATAGGAAAAGTTTCAGCCGACGTTGAGAATATCGAATGGTTGAGATGTTTTTCTCTAAGACAATTTAAAACTTCTGCAATACTATCTAATGATGATTTTAAATATTCGTAAAATATATCCTTTTCAGGTTGAATGCATGGAATTGCAATAGTTGCAACTTTTTCCATTAGTTGCTTTCTTCAAGATTTCTTTCTGAATTTTTTCAATTTCTCTCTCACAAAGCAATAAGAATGATTTTAAAATTTTACCTGACCAACGCAACGGTCTGGACCTTATGTGCTTCACTATAGATCCTTTTTCCATGGTGCTTTATAGTCACAAAAAGAAAACGGAATTCAAAAACAGATGACACAATATTTTCTTTCTACATTTGCGTTCTAAAAATAGAAAAAGATAGACAACTATAGAATAGCAATATATAATTTCGATTCTAAAAGATATTCTATTGTAAATCGAGGCAATAATATGTTACACAAACAAATTTGTTCAGGCTGTACAATTAGCGTCAGCAGTAAATGCTCTTATTATTTTACTAACAAAATTTTATAATAATTAGGAATATCTTTAAATACTTCATGTGAGGAAAATTATTAAATGAATAAAACGAGAACTTACACGAATGTATGTATATATACTTTTATTAAATTAACACAAAATAATTTGTTTAATTATTTAATTAATTCATCTGTAATAACCGCTTTTCAACAATTGCTTTCATAAACTAATCAATTTAAATTTTTACGGGCTTAATAAATTATTCTTACTACAAAGTTAATATACTGAAGCGTTATATTGAGTATACAGTAATAAAGAAATATTCGCAATTAATTGTCCTGAAAAATTTACATATAAATTTAGAATATAACTATATTTCATGTGTAGATGTGTGTATGTTTGTGTATGCGCATGCATTCATGCGAATATACGAGCGGGAGTGAATGTGTGCATACATATGCATGCGTGAGTGTTGCGTGTTTGTTTGTCGTGTGTAAAAGGTCTTTCTCTGCTGATACACACATGCACAGACGCATACATACACGCATACACATACACACATATACCAAAATTTACCAAAATTACTTTATTAAGAACATTGAGGAACATTGAGAATTGGTTTAAATAAAATCTAACACATTACATTTTATATTGAAAGATACTGTCCATATAAAGATACTTTATGTATAAATTATATATATTTAATGATACTTTATAAATAAAGTATCTTTCAAAATATGAAATATTTGTGTGTATTAGATTTTATATTAAATGGCGTGTGTATGTGATTAGTATTATAAAATAGAATATTTAACTATAAACTTTTTGATGAATTTTGAATCAGAGTTTTTTATATAACTATATACTTAATTATTTATATAATATTATTTTTATATCTTTCGTGTAAATTCCGGCCAATTTCTACGGGTGGCGCAAGGCGAAGTAAAGTTTCTCTTTATTACAATTTTTATTATCCTGTATTATTACTCATTTTTCGTCTTAAATACATTTTTGTAAAAAAACCAAAAATTAATTAAACAATCAAGAAAATGTACTTAAAACATACACACAAGCAAAATATTATTAAAGAAATTATAATAAACATTTTCTGCAATTCTATGAGAATTTTGTAACTTTTTATTTTTTGTTTATATTAAAAGTACATTAAAAGTTTATAAAAGACAGTTTATACAAAAATTTATAAGAAATTAATAAATAGATAAGAATTTAAATATAGGTAATAATTATAAGAAGTCAATAGTAAAAAATGAAAGTTTACAAATACATATTGTATATATAAAAATATTAAAAGAATTATTTTTATTTTGAAAAGCTATTTGAAAAATGAACATTTTCGATTTTCTATTTTAAATAGGTGTCTCAAAAGCATTTTGCATTTTGCATTTTGAAATAAAAAACTTTTATTTTACATTATTTATCATAAATGAGTTTAAACCCCCATTTTGTATAAATCAATTTGATTCTAACAATAATAGATCCATTATAAGGCAAAGAAACATAATACACCATTTTCGTAACACATGTGTGTACATAAGAATAATAAAAAACACTGCTTGCCTTGAAAAACTATGGAATCATATGTGATTAATGTATACAAAATTAAATATACAATATTATAAATGAAATTGTTCGAAAATCGAACGGCTAAACGCAAACTGAAAAGGCTTAAAAACATTATTGCGTTAAAACTCATGCAATCGTGACATGCAACATGCATCATGCATCAATTTATATATAATATTATTTCAAATAGCGCTCGGCCGCACAGGTATACGTGTACCCCGCGCCTGCGAAAAGGAAGCGCTTACGTCAAATCACCGATAGTAGTAAACACCGCGGTCGCGCGAGAGGAGATACAATTTAGTCCCGATAACAACAAAACGACTATTTTTCTGAAAGTAAATAATTACACTAAACGCTCTTTCGACCTCAGCCGAACGATAGAATAAAGAGAATTATTCTCGACTATTCTAGAAACACGGGCCTATAAAAACCTCCTCTCTCGTGATCGCGGCGCTCTTTTCCGATTGCTCGTCGCGTCAAGAGTGTGCTTCTACTGTACGAAAAAGATCGCTTGTCTTTTTCGCTTTATCACGTTTAATTACCGTTGCTTGCGGAACATTTAGTTATTAATTATCGACTCGGCTATTTCTTTTGGTTTATTCTAATCAGTTATCTTTTTGTAAATTCTGTGCGGTTTCAATACTTGTATTTTTCTTTGTCTTAGTCTTAAATATAGTTTTATATTAAACGATACGTGTGTGTCGCGTGCAGTGCTTCTCTGTCTTCTCGCTTCCGACCTTCCCATCCTGCCTTCCGTCGCGCACATTATTTTTGGTCCTTCGAGCCGGAGACCCCAGAACCTCCTGTGAATCCGGTGCCACGGAAGCGTATAGTTTATCAGTGTAGGTGACCAGTGCATCTGAAAGTAAGACAGTGTCAGAGATGGCAGACACAACAACTATAATTACCAACGCCACCGCGCTATATGGCAAGATCTCGCGCGCATACGATAACCTTCGGAAGCTCGGCGAGGCCAACATCACACTCGACGCGGTGGAAGCCCGGCTTCTGAATCTCGACAAACTGTGGGAGAAGTTCGATGCGATGAATGATATCTTGGCTGAGCGTGTAGACGAACTAAAACATGACGCCTATGCTAAACAAGACATATCTTCACTCGGCGAGGAGTCTTACCTAGTGAACAAGGGCCTGATGTTGGAGTTGCGGCGTACTCTCCAGAAAAAGGAACGCGCCGCTGCTTCTGCTACTTCAGAGACATCAACATCGGCGCCTCGCACCACGCTACCTCGAATCCAGCTGCCGACCTTTACGGGAAGATACGAGGATTGGCCGGCCTTCCGAGACCTCTTCGTCTCCCTCATCGGCCAGGATAAGACGACGAAGCCTGTAGAAAAAATGCACTACTTGAAGAGCTGTGTCAAGGGCGAAGCAGATCTTCTCATCAGAGACCTCAGTTCTACCGAAGCCAATTACGAACGAGCCTGGCAAACTCTAAGCGACTACTATGAAAATAAGCGCTTACTAACCCGCTCTTATTTAACAAATTTTTTAAGCCTGCCAAAGATGAAGGGAGAATCCGCTGCTGAGCTTAGGAAGATATTCCATGGCATCAAGACTACGGTCAGCTCGCTGACGAGCATCGACCGGCCAGTAGGGAGTACTGAAGATCTCTTTGTGCACCTCGCCGTTGACCTTCTCGATAGTCGCTCTCGCCGCGAGTGGGAGACCTCCATCAGTGAGACAAACGAACCTCCGCAATACGCTCTGCTAGAGCGTTTCCTTGAGCGACGTCTTCACACTCTGGAGTCGCTACCCTCGACGAAGATCGACGTCTCGCCCAACAAAACCGGCGGGAGTCAGTCGAAGTCGACTCGTACCCACCATGCTCGTAAGCAGGACTCAAAGGAGCCCAAGGGAAACACCAGAGGACGCTGTTCAGCCTGCCAGGGTGACCACTTCGTGATGCTGTGCGACGCTTATAAGAAAATGACGGCCTCAGAGCGCAAGCAGCACGTCGAAGGCAACGACTTGTGTGGAAACTGTCTCGGCTGACACAAAATCAAGGATTGCGCCTCCAAGAAGAACTGCTCCGCGTGCAATAACCGGCATCATACCTCACTCCATGATGCCTACCGCTCATCGGAGACCGCCAAAACGTCGCACGTCAGCAAGGGACCGTTTCCGACGCCTGTAGCTGTACTTTTGGCCACGGCGCGCGTTCGCGTATGCGATCGCTATGGTTCCTGGCAGTCAGTTCGCGCCCTCGTCGACCAAGGCTCGGAATCCTCCCTTGTGTCGGAAAGGCTCACCCAACGCTTGAGGCTAGCACGGAGCTCCGCTTCGGTTTCAGTGTATGGAGTCGGCGGGAAAAAGACAGGCGTCTCAAAGGGTAAAGTGGTACTCACCCTCCAGTTTCTTAGTGGCTGCTCTTCCATCACCGTCCACGCTCTGGTGCTGCCGAAGCTGACCATCTACGCCGGCGGCTACAGCGGCGGCGGGCAAAACTGGTCTCATCTTCAGGGTCTGGAACTCGCGGACCCTGATTATCGCTCAGCTGATCCGGTTGACATCCTCCTTGGCGCGGACGTTTACGGTTCAATCCTCTGTCAGGGCCTAAAAAAGGGAAATCGACATGAACCAATAGCTCAACAAACTACGCTCGGCTGGATACTGTCAGGCGTTGTTGGTGAGACGACTACCGGACATCACGTTCACACTCACCAATGCCGAATTGAAGACGACGTCTCTATCCTGGTGCGTCGCTTCTGGGAGCAGGAGGAGCTTCAACGGCCTCCACAACTCTTTTCTAAGGCTGACCAGGAGTGCGAGGATCACTTCCTGCGACATCACCCTCGTACAGCCAACGGTCGATATGTGGTGAGACTGCCGACGATCGAGCCTCTGCCTGACCTCTCAGCCACTCGACGCGCCGCCAGTCGGGCCCTGCAACACGTCAGCAAAAAACTAGAACGAGAAAGTACCTTCCGCAGCATGTACGTGGATTTCATGAAGCAATACTTGGACCTCAACCATATAAAGCCGGCTCCCCTGTCGACTACTGGATCTCTACAACGAACCTGCTACCTTCCTCACCACGGGGTCCTGCGCGAAAGCAGTGCCTCTACTAAGTTGAGAGTGGTCTTCAACGGTTCGAGCTCCTTGGCCAACGGCGACTGTCTCAACCGATTTCTGATGACGGGACCCAACCTGCTTCCCGCCCTAGCTGACATCCTACTACGGTGGAAAAGGCACCGGTACGTCTTTGCTACCGACATTGAAAAAATGTACCGGCAAATCCTGGTACATGCCGATGATCAGAGCCTGCAAAGGATATTATGGAGGAAGGATTCAGAGACCGAGATCAAGAAATATTGGCTGACTACAGTAACTTACGGCTTAGCCTGCGCTCCATATTTGGCCATCCGCACGCTGCACCAGCTCGCCGTGGACGAAGGCGATCGTCATCCTGAGGGAGCCGCGGTCCTCCGCTCCGACGTTTACATGGACGACATCCTGTCTGGAGCTTCTACCCTCCAGGAAGCCAAGGAAATCCTCCGACAGCTTGTTCTGGTCTGCAAGGCGGGAGGCTTCCCTCTGAAAAAATGGTCAGCTAATCACCCTCAGTTACTGTCTACATTACCTACCGAAGACTGCCTCCAGCAAGAGGCAAGATGGTGGTTGCCTGGGGAAAGTCATGCCACTCTGGGATTACGGTAGCAACCTTGCGACGACCTCTTCTTCTTTGCCACCAGCCAACCAACGCTGTCCACGATCACAAAGCGGTCAGTTTTATCGTTGACAGCGAAGCTATTTGATCCGCTCGGTTGGCTGTCTCCCACGACTGTTCTCGCCAAGACTCTAATCCAGTCTACGTGGTTACTCGGTATCGACTGGGACACTCCTCTTCCGGACGACCATGAGAAGGCCTGGTTACGCTTCCAAGCGGAGCTCCCCCAACTGGAGAGACTGCACGTTCCTCGATGGCTGGGCGGAGGATCGACTGACTGCCGCCTGGAAGTCCACGGATTCGCTGACGCCTCAGTCCGTGCCTACGCTGCTGTGGTGTACCTAAAAACCGAGAAGAACGGGGAGTATGGAGTTACGCTGATTGCTGCCAAGACGAAAGTTGCTCCGCTGAAACAAATTTCCTTACCTCGGCTCGAATTATCAGCCGCAACTCTTCTGGTCCGCCTCGTTCAGCAAACGCTGCCTCTCATCGGAGCTGAAAAGGCGCCTCTTCATCTCTGGTCAAACTCCACGGTGGCTCTCGGCTGGATCCGTGGACATCCTTCTTCCTGGGTCACATTCGTTGCCAACCGGGTCAGCGAAATTCAGACGTCGCTCCCCGACGCTCTTTGGCATCATGTCCCTGGACGCGAAAACCCGGCAGACTGCGCCTCTCGAGGCATCTTCCCTGGAGAGCTTGAGGCGCATCCACTTTGGTGGCAGGGTCCCTCTTGGCTGAAAACGGAGAGCGGCCCTTGGACTGTCTTCGGAGATGATCTCAGCAACGTCGAGCTACCCGACCGTCGAGCCCGTTCGCACGCTGCAGTCTTGGACAAGCGAGGAGACGAACCGGAGCTGCTACTCCGATACTCTTCCCTGCAGCGACTACTTCGCATCACCGCCTGGTGTCTCCGGTGGTTACGACAACGCCGACGGCAGCCCATCCTTCTCAATCGCGACGGCGGGGTAGACGCTGAAGAACTTCATGACGCGCTGATCCACTGGATACGGGTCGTCCAAGCTGCAAATTTCAAGGATGAATTAAAATCGTTGCGAGGACTGACATCACTACCCAACCGAAGCCCACTCAATAAACTCAGCCCGTTTGTGGACGATTCGGGCGTTATTCGCGTCGGAGGGCGTCTACGACATTCTCAGATGTCTTTTGAGGCTACCCATCCAATCATCCTACCGAGTTCGTCGCGAATTACTCACCTCGTCATCGATGAACATCACCGACGATCGTTGCATGGGGGCACCCAGCTGACCCTGTGTTCCATCCGTCAAGAATTCTGGATTCCTCGTGGACGATTCCTCGTCAAAAACCACATTCACCGCTGCGTTAGATGCCTGCGATGGCGGTCGGCTACAGCACAGCCTCTCATGGGTGACTTGCCTGCACCCCGAGTGACGCCAGAAAGACCGTTCCTCCATACTGACGTCGACTACGCCGGACCCGTCTGGCTGCGAAGTGCCAAAGGCCGCGGGCACAAATCTTCTAAAGCCTTCATTGTCGTCTTCATCCGTTTAGGTTCCAGGGCCGTCCATCTTGATGTCGCCTCGGACTACTCGGCCGACGCTTTCTTGGCATCCTTGCGTCGGTTCATCGCTCGGCGAGGTGTATGTCACACGCTATACAGCGACTGTGGGACCACCTTCATAGGCACCGACACTCAACTCCGAGACTTATTCTCAGCCACAAACCCTGAAGGACGTCGCGTCGCCTCCTTCGCTGCTCAGGAGCAAATTCAGTGGCGGTTCAACCCGCCGGCTGCGCCCAACTTCGGTGGTATCTGGGAAGCGGCAGTCAAGTCAATGAAGCACCATCTTCGCAGAGTGATAGGAGATGCTACACTCACCTACGAGGAGATGGCCACTCTCCTCTCCCAGGTCGAGGCTTGCCTCAACTCTCGGCCGCTGCAACCGCTGACCGACGACCCGGAGGACTTCAGTGCGCTGACACCCGGCCATTTCCTCATCGGCTCCGCGCTCTCCACCGTCCCCGAACCGTCGCTAACCGAGGAATCGTCGTCGCGCCTCTCCCGGTGGCAGCTTCTACAACAGATGAAGGATCATTTCTGGTCCCGATGGTCCCGCGAATACCTACACACGCTGGCTCATCGGCCGAAATGGTTCAAAATAAACCGGGAAGCTCGCGTCGGTCGACTCTGTTTAATACGTCACAAAATGACCGCGCCAACGAGGTGGCCTCTAGCACGCATCACCAAATTGCTTTCCGGAGCCGACGGACACGTTCGCGTCGTCGAGGTCCGCACCGCCACCACTGTCTTGACGCGACCTGTTAGCAAACTCGTTTTTCTTCCCGACGCTGACGATCTGTCACCTAAAACCACAAGCGATTAGTAAATTCATCAACACTTCATTTGCACCGTGCCAAACTACCTCACATCAATCATAACTACATTCCACTCACTATTCCACTCTTTTCATCGCTGCAATCTTCTTATCACTCAACTATTCGTTTCATTATTCAATCACGGTTAATATCACAATCGAAATTGTCGCGTATTCCTCGATGCGTTCACCGACACGCGTCTATACTGCTGCGCTCAAAAATAAACAGCTGTTCGATTCAGCATTCCTTGAGCGAAATCCGTCAGAGCACGTGCGCCCCACGTGCCCGTCACTCGCGAGAGCGTGAATAGGCGCGCGCCCCCTCTCTCGCACTACTTAGTCGATTGCAGGTATATACTGCAAGGCATGCGGAATGTTCGAAAATCGAACGGCTAAACGCAAACTGAAAAGGCTTAAAAACATTATTGCGTTAAAACTCATGCAATCGTGACATGCAACATGCATCATGCATCAATTTATATATAATATTATTTCAAATAGCGCTCGGCCGCACAGGTATACGTGTACCCCGCGCCTGCGAAAAGGAAGCGCTTACATCAAATCACCGATAGTAGTAAACACCGCGGTCGCGCGAGAGGAGATACAATTTAGTCCCGATAACAACAAAACGACTATTTTTCTGAAAGTAAATAATTACACTAAACGCTCTTTCGACCTCAGCCGAACGATAGAATAAAGAGAATTATTCTCGACTATTCTAGAAACACGGGCCTATAAAAACCTCCTCTCTCGTGATCGCGGCGCTCTTTTCCGATTGCTCGTCGCGTCAAGAGTGTGCTTCTACTGTACGAAAAAGATCGCTTGTCTTTTTCGCTTTATCACGTTTAATTACCGTTGCTTGCGGAACATTTAGTTATTAATTATCGACTCGGCTATTTCTTTTGGTTTATTCTAATCAGTTATCTTTTTGTAAATTCTGTGCGGTTTCAATACTTGTATTTTTCTTTGTCTTAGTCTTAAATATAGTTTTATATTAAACGATACGTGTGTGTCGCGTGCAGTGTTTCTCTGTCTTCTCGCTTCCGACCTTCCCATCCTGCCTTCCGTCGCGCACAGAAATAAATTACAATACAAAGAATCTGAGAAACAATCAAAGATCAAACAATGTTTCAGCTATTTCTATCTCGGCTTTTGTAGCGGCGTTATACGGATAAATTTTTGCTAACATTTTATTTGGCACATAATGCGTGCCTTCGAATTTACAAAAATAGCGACCTATTTCGTTATTATCGATCCATTTCGGCGTTGTTAAAGTTATAGCGTCTGAAATAAAAAATAATAATTAAATTCATAATCACTAAGAGAAAGAAAGGAATAAATGAAATAAATAATAAAGGAATTATAATAAATAAAATAAAAAATATAATAATGAAATAACGGAGACAAAATAAAGTATTATTTTATATCCCAGAAAACATTTTGCGCGCAAATGTATACCTAGCCATTGCATACTCAAGCAGCTTATATGGCGCAAGCAAAACTTTATCCTAATGCGTCGGCATAGTGATAGCAAATGCTAGCACACTTTGCACGCAATTTCATCTCGTTATAAGCATGCAAGATGAGCATATTCAACAAGCATATTGCTGACATACTATCACATCACTGACATATTTTTGGCAATTTGATATCCATTTCCACGTGATTTGCTGGTGTATTAAATAATACATAAGCTAAACATTTGCGTGGAATATGTACAACTAAACATATCCCACATGCAAAACTCGGGCAAATCTCGTACACAGTTTATATGTATAATGCGCGCAAATGCACGCAAAAACTGTTATCAGGGATTACATACAAAGAGATGAGTTTCGTATACTAAACAAATAAAAAAGTTTATATATATAATGATGCTCATACCTTCTTTTACTTTACGAAGTCTATTATCTTCAGTGAGAATAATGTAATATATTTGTTGATGTACAAATTTATTTGTTGCTGTAAATTCACAAAAAAATTGATCCAACAACATTTTATATTGATTCATGGTCCATGAATTGTTTAAGTTCTGTGTAACGTCTAAAGAGATTGTATCACTTCGATCAATATCATATCTGTCCCATCCGACGATCACACACACCTCTTTACCTATAATTATAATCATATGATTATATCTAATCTATAATAAAATTCAATCTATATTTATAATAAAATAACTATATATGATTTGTCACCATGTTTAACTATCATTCCAACAGCAAACTTTACATTCTCTGGCCTTTTATATGTTTTCTTTTCTTTTAACCATTCATTTCGTAGATGCCACTAAAAAAAAAAGTAAGATCTAATTTGATTTGCTTTTTCTTTTTATACAATTCGTAAATATTGCCTTCTTTGGCAGTCAGTTTGCTACCCGGATAGTGCTAACATACCTGATGAAATGTTAATATTCCACATGAATATAAAATATCAATTGTACGTGTTTCATCTACGTTCCTCAAATATAAATGAAAGCGCTGTACTAATAAGAACAACATCTGAAAAAAAAATTTAAATTTATACAAAAACGAAATGGGATCTGATTATAAAAATAAAAAATATGAGAGATTGTGTAATAATCCCTGCTGCCTATTATCACGTTTAAAGCATATTTTATTGATTAATCTATTTGCCGTAGTTATAAAAGTATATTATAATTAGTGTTAAGAAAATTTATATACAATGTATATAATTGTCAACCTCATCAGGTTTTAGTATAAAGTCTGCCAAAGTATTTCCACGGTTCATCATAAACGGCGACAATTGTTTGTGAAGACGTTTCGGGAATTCTTCAAAGGTTATATCGTAACATCTTGCATTTTCAAACCTATTCATAGCACTGCGAACAATATAAAATGATAATATATGTGTGTATGCAATATATATTAGAATTGCCGTAATGTTCAATTAATTTCAATTCTAATTTATACTTACTATTTTGGCATCCAAAATATATAGTATTCGCCAATTGCGAACTCTTCCTTAATTAAAACGCAACGTAAACCAAGTCTCCTGGCCACGCTTTCATATATTATTAATAAAATTGTTTTCTGGCCACATTTATTTTTTAACACCTATGTCAAATATTACAATACAACAATAATTTGTGCGAGTGTAATTTAAGGATATAACAAACATGGCCATGCGCGCAGCATGTTAAGTTGTTATAGAGTTGGTTATAATATATTTAAATGAATATAATATACATTTTGTCAAAAAAATTATGGCAACACGCAATTAATATCAAAATTTAGCGTAAATTCAAATAAGCGTATTTTCGCGAAAATTTATCGTATTTAAAAAAAATTTTTTTGTTTCTTAAAAATTCTTAAAGTGGAGACTTCACTCCTTAAAACAAAAATATTTTTTCTAAATATGATAATTTTTCGCGGAGGTACGCTTATTTAAATTTATGCGAAATTTTGATATTAATTGCGTATTGCGATAATTTTTTTGACCAGTGTATTATAAATAAATTTAAATTTTTAAAAATGGTAATAATTCAATCGACCAACTGTGGCAAATAAGTAATTTTATTGAATATTTACAACGTTTTGGTCGTGGGTTTTGGCTCTTATCAAGTGCTATGTTCTTAAAACAAAGTAAATCACAACTTTTTGAACAAACAAAAATTCGATCTTAGAATATGACGTGATATAATAACATGATAGTATAAAAACGAAATAACTATGGTCGATTAAATTATTACCATTTTTGAATTGTCATCTGGTGACTTTATAGTTTTATAAAATTTAAATTTTATTATCGATAAAAATAACTTACGTTATCTATACAAAGGTTTTCCACATTTCTGTCTGTCTTTTGGCATAGTCGAAAGTTTAATTTACCAAAAATATATTTCTCGAGTGTATCCATAATCTGCGTACTTTCTGCTTCGTTCCAATGATTATCGTCGATATTGTTGTTTCTCCAATAAGAAAAAGTTTCAGCCGACGTCGAGAATATCGAATGATTGGGATGCTCTTCTTTAAGACAATTTAAAACTTCTTTTGCGATACTATCTAATGATGATTTTACACATCCATAAAATACATCCTTTTCAAATTGCGCAAATTGAACCGCAAAAGTAGCAATTTCTTCCATTATCTGTTTTCTGCGAGGTTTCTTTTTAAATTTTTTCGGTAACTTACTCACGAAGCATAGCTTTATGTAGTAAAATAATTTTTTTTTGATATATATTTCAGTTAGATCGCAATCAATTTTCCTAAAAAATTATCATATTAATTGTATGATAAATTATATATACATTAAGCTATAAAGTCAATAGATACGATAATATATACTTATATATGTATATATATATATATATTAAAAATTCTATACCGTGAAAATTGTGTAAAAGACTTTTTCAATTCATCAATAAAAAATAATATTTTATGGTGTTTTCAGGTTTATAAATAATTTCATCAAATTTATCTGTACAAAATATTTCGTCAAATCCTCTTCTATTATTGAGTGAATCGTAATTATAGTTATGTATAATTTCAGATATACAATTTTTTAATTCTCTTATACAATTTACGCCTGTTTCTATAAAGTTTACAATTTTTTGATCCTTTCCTTCGTTCTCTTCAAATTCATTCTCATTTTCTTTAGATTGTGTGTCATAAAATTTCTTAACAGAGGACCATCTGAAAATAAAACAAATTATATTTTAATAAACCTTTGTAAATTTCTTTGACAAGATTTTCATAATATTGACTGCGTAATCTGAAGATGATATTCGGTGGGAATTTTATCGGAGGATACGAGAAAAACATTGCAAAATTCCACAACCAAAAGATCTCGTAAATAATTAATATTAAATTATATACTAATATTAAATTATATTAATATAAATTTAAAGTATAAGACAGGCGATAAGAGCCGAACGCGGAAGAAGAGAAACTAAATTTTTTCGTTAGGATTAAATATCTGTGCACAAGGCACCAAATTTTACTTGGTCACTGCCAAGATTTTAAAATATGAAATAATCTCATATTTGAGATTTAATTTCAATAATCCTTTAACCCACCTTTGAGAGAAATTATATTAAAATATAAGTAACATTAAATTATATAAACATATATATATATATATACATATATATATATATATATATATATATATATATATATATATATGTATATATATATATATATGGGACATTATTTATGAAATAATCCATCCAAATTTTCAAAGTTTTAAAAAGAAACAAAATAAGATTTAAAATGCAGAACCGTTGTTATATCGATAAACTTACGTTTGCTTTTAAATTTTGTATTTTATAAAATCTTTTCTAATTTTCTTAATTTTAAGCAAAATAACATTATTTATTGTTAAAGAATAAATATTCCTGCTTATTTTTAAATCTTATTGTTTTTTTTAACAATTTATTTTTACTTTAGCAGCGCCAAGTTTTTTAACTAAAATTTTTGTCTTTTTTTTATTTTGTGATAATTTTTAATTTTCGCGTAAGTTTTTAATTTTCAATTTTTTTTTACAAATTTTTATTTATTTGGCACAACTTTTTGATATCAGTTTTTTTTAGAAATAATATGTTATATTTACAATATAAGTTTTATATTTTTTCTATAACAATTTTAAACATGACACATAAACTTGGCGCCCTTTTCTTACTTTTTTTTAAAAGGTAAGTACTTTTTGGATATTGACTCACAATCAGTAATGTAAAGATGATATTCAAAGGGAATTTTAACGGAGAATACGGGAAAAACATTGAAAAATTCTACAATCAAAAAATATGAATAATTGTTATTTTATCATCGAAATTATATATTAATCCTTAATTTTTTTTATTATTCTTCCCAAATTTCTCGTCATAAATGCACACAATTGACAGTCAAAATGTAAAAAAAATTGCAAACAGGAATTACTTCTCAAGAAACTTTCTTTCCTTAAAACTGGCATATTTGGCTGCAAACTGGAAACGCTTGCACACACATCTGAAGCTAATTATATCCTCAATAGTAATATCAGTAAACCCAAGAATGATGTCTATCACCTCGTTAGGTAAATTCATTATTGTATTCATTATATAAAAGTTTTAGTGAAACACGAGAAAGTAATAAAAATTTTAAAGCAACAAACTATTTGTGTAATTTTCTGCTGGCAAAAATACGAAATTTACTGTGATACTACATACTTATCTACCGATTGCAGAAAGCACAAGTACGTATTTTATCTGATCACTGTAGACTGTTTCCATTAGTCGACAACCGAAACGTAAAAACGAATTTACTTCTGTATAATATTTAATAATTTATGTTATAAATCTTTTCACAAATATAATTTTATTATAGAACTTAATTAGCTCTTATTGCCTTTTTATTTGTAGATTAAAAAGATATCATGAATAAATAATATTAAATTATATAGTATAAATTACATTGCTAATTATTTTTGTGGAAAGTGGGCAACCTCTCATACCTCATGACTTTGACTTGATATATGTTATTAACGTCATCATCCATGTGATTCTTACAAAAAGTTACCTTCTTTCAGTATAATTACTTATTTTGTATAAATTTTATATTATATATAAATAATTTATATTTTTATTATATTTTAATCAACTAATTCTCGTAATATTAAAAACCAAAGTTATGGGAATCTAGTCCGTTTTATAATTAATTATTAGTGCAATAATTTGTATCATTACATTATATTTTTATATTTTGTATGTATTTTATTTTTATAAAATATATTTCTCGCGTAAATAACAATTTGTGCAGTTAACGTAAACAAATTATAAAAAATTTTAACAAACAAGAAGAATTACCTCTGAAGAAGCTTTCGTTCCGTAAACTTGTCATATTTGGATGCAAATTGGAAATGCTTGCATGCACATCTGAAGCTAATTACATCCTCAATTGGAATATTACTTTGGCTGAGAATAAACTCTATCATTTCGTCAGGTAAGCACATTATCGTAGTCATTATGAAAAAATTTCAATAAAACACACGAAATAATACAAATTAAAATGATGGCAACAATTGGTACTATTAATTACTTTAATACTTTAAAGTATTTAAGTAATTAATTTTCTGCTTCAGAAAACACGAAATTTACTGCGATACCGTATATGCATGTCTACCGATTGCAGAGAGCACATGTACGATCCGAAGCACGCGTTTCCAATTCATCTATACGCCTGTTGCGTATCTGCCGCAGTCGATTGAGACGCCATCTGTCGCCTCACAAAGGTATTCGTAAGGTGAGCAGCGCGAAAAATTGACATAAAATGCAAGTGAAGAGGAAGTAAAACATTCAATTTTAATTTTAACAAAATGACCTCCCTTGTTATTTATTGCGGTTTTCAAAATGTTCAGACCAATCTGTTTTGTCCTAAATCCATTTCCAAAAGTATTTATACACGTTGAAAGATATGTTGGATATTTCCTATTTCTTATTTCTTATTGCCTGTACTTTTGTATTGTGCAATAAACTTATTTGTTGAGATTAT